CCCCAAAACCCCAAAACCCCAAAACCCCAAAACCCCAAAACCCCAAAACCCCAAAACCCCACAGTAAATTTACGTCATTGAAACACAAAGAAGGTTGTGAAAGAACTATTTAATCCTAGTTATACTTTAGTGTCGATTCAAGAGTCATTCACTATCTCAATGCTATTTTCTGAGCAAGAGGTTAGGTTATCAGCTTGGTTGAACAAAGGTAAAGAAATAAAGGCTTCGTGCTCAAGATTCTTCTCACAGTAGTATTTCATCTTTGCCTCCAGCCCTTTGGAAGCAAAATAGTTGATAAAGGTATTCAGCAATACTCCTAGAATGGCAGCAATAGTGACCGAAACAATGATGACTGAAGCAATGGATGATCCTTGATGCATTTGTTCCTGAGAGATTTTATATTCCTGATAACATTTAGCTAAGTAATCTTCAGCCAATGTCAAGAGTGAATTTCCTATAATAAAAGTTACTATTAGTTTCAGTTGGATTATCTATTCTATAATGGATTTTGAATAAAATCAGCAGAACTCAAGATAAACTGTACTTACAGAAGGCAATAATCAACACCATGCAAGGAACTGACATCACTGCAGATATACTCTTTGAAGTCCTCAAGTAGTGATAGTTCTTCAAAGAAATAGAAACTACAATAGTAAATGCATTACACATGTATAGCATTGTTGCGTAAATAGGCGTCAAAACAAATAACAGGTCTACATATCCCAATGATTTTGGGAAATAAGAGGCTTCAATTGTATAGACTGCATGACTGATTTCTCCTTCAGGGAAAGCATATTGGAAAAGCCAAGGACGTCTATTTCCAGTCATAATTCTCCATACTCATACAAAAAACACGAAGAATGAAGCTGAAGCAGCAGCTAAATTCCAAGTGATCAGAGCAGTTTTGATTTTCAAATATCTCCGAAAATCAATCAAACTATCCCCAGAAAGTAACGATTCAGGAGCTACCTTATATTCATTTTCAGATACAAAAGCCTTAGTTTCTGAGTCTTCCATATTAGTATTATAAAATAATTATCAAATTTCTTAATCTTTTCTGGGGTTTTGGGGTTTTGGGGTTTTGGGGTTTTGGGGTTTTGGGG